AATATATAAACTTATGTTTTCATTGTTCTCAAATTTGGAATAATGATCTCAAACTTGGAAAACTGTCGTCGAAGTTATAGAATTTTTTTCGATGATAAAATGACATTATCAAATTTATGAAATCGTTCTAGAATTTATAAAAAATATTTTCGATGATGGAAAAGTCTGGATGGATGGAAAATTTGAAAATAAAATTTATTTAAAAATGATTTATAATTTTTATATAAGCCCTTAAATTTATAATAATCGTTTTTAAATATAGAAAATACTCAAATTTAAAGAAATCGTTCTCAAATTTAAGAAAACGTTCCCAATAATGAAATTGTATTCTCATTTTTTAAAAATTTATTCATATTTATAAAAATCGTTCTCAAACTTAACAAAACGTTGCCAGTGATGGAATTGCATTCTCACTTTTGAAAAATTTATTCATAATCATAAAAATCGTTCTCAAACTTAACAAAACGCTCCCAATGATGGAATTGCATTCTCATTTTTGAAAAACGTCTTCGATTTTTATAAAAATCGTTCTCAAATTTAACAAAACGCTCCCAATGATGAAATTGAATTCTCATTTTTAAAAAAAGTCTTCAAAGTTATAAAAATCGTTCTCAAATTTAACAAAACGTTCATAATGATAGATAGAATTGCATTCTCATATTTAAAAAACGTCTTCAAATTCATAAAAATCGTTTGCAATGATAAAAATGTTATCAACGTTTTCAAATTTAACTAGTTGGTTTGGTATTTAGCCTTGAGGCAAGTTACATGAACTTCCCGATATGTGTAAATAATCGACTTAATAAAAAAAAGTGTAAATAATATTCTTTATCAATCCTACTTTGAAGAAAACGATAATAATTTTAGCAAACTTTGACGAATTTGTAAAATTAAACTACTTTTCGTAAGGCCATAATATTACAGTAAGTTCTATAAGACCATGATGTATATCGCCAAAAAAAAGTGCCATGAAAATCGGCTTAAATTTTTTTTCAACAGTTAATTACAAGAAAACGGCTCGGTAGATTTTCACCTAAAATTAATGAGTATCATTCCCAACTAATATCTTTCGAACAGTTTCTGATATTTTAAAATCGGTTCGGTAGGACGAGCTTAAATGTGTACGAAAAGTTTTTTCGAATTACAAAGAAACGGCTTGTCAGATCGTTGCACAAAACTGACAAACGATAGTCCTTACCGAAATACATCAAATGGCTTTTAAATTTCTAAAATCGGTTCAGGCGTTTTTGAGAAAACGTCGATCAAAAGTCTAATTTTGACAAATGCCAAAAAGACCATACTGATTTTTGCAAACTTTGACGAATTTTTAAAGCTGAACCAGTTGTCGTAGGGCCGTAATATTTTAGTATGATCTAGAAGACTATGGTATCTATCGTCAAAAAAATAATCATAAAAATCGTCGAATTTTTTTTTAAAAAAACTTTATTACAAGAAAACGGCCCGGCCGATCTCTACCAAAAACTAATCAGCACGATTCCCAACCAATATCTTTCGAACGGTTTTTGAATTTTCAAAATCGATTCAGAATTGCGGGCTAAAACGTAGACGAAAAATTTTTCACTTTTCTGCCATTTATAAAGAAACGGCTTGGCCGATCGTCGCACAAAACTGACAAAAAATAGTTCTTGTCGAGATACATCGAATGGCTTTTAAATTTTTGAAATCGACCCAGCCGTTTTCGAGGAAACGTCGATTTACGGCAAAAAATCTGTTCACATACACACACACACACACACACACATACTTTTTCCAAATTTGGTCTCATTCGACTCAGAATGGCTTGTAAACGTCGAGAAAACATAAAATTAGCGAATCGGATTTTTTGATGAAAACATAAACTTCTCCTTCGGGAAGTTAAAAAAACGTCCTCAAATTGATATGAACGTCCTCAAACAAAAAAAGAAAATTCAAATTTAAGAAAATCAGTCGCAAAGTTAACAAAACGCACCTAATGTTGAAATTGCATTCTTAAATTTAAAAAACATCTTCAAATTTATATTTTTACAAGATTTTAATGATAAAGAATGTTCTCAAATTTATAAAAACGTTCTCGAATATATAAAAATCGTGTTAATTGATAGTAAAACGTTTTCAAATTTTGAAAACCGTCCTCGAATTTATAGAAATAGTTTTCAAAAATGAAAAAACATTCCCAAATTTATAAAACGGTCTCGATATTATTATAATATAAAAGTCGTTTTCGATGATGGCATAATGGTCTCAATTTTATGAAAGTTGTTATCAAATTTTGAAAATATATAAAAAGATTACTCAATTTTATAAAAATCGTTCTCAAAGTTAACAAAACGTTGCCAAGGTTGAAATTGCGTTCTTAAATTTAAAAAATGTACTTAAATTTATAAAAAACTAAAATTTATTAAAACGTTCCCAAATTTAGAAAATCAGCCCCTCCAATTTATAGACATAGTTTTCAATGATAAACATTCTCAAATTTACAAAAACATTATCAAAATCAAAAAACCGTCTTCGAATATATAGAAACAGTTTTCAATGATAAAAAACAATCTAAATTTTATAAAAACATTATCGAATTCATAAAAACGCTCTCGATCTTATAAAAATCGTTTGCAATGATTAAATAATGTTCTCAAATTTATAAAAACGATCTGGAATTTAGAAAACATCCCTTGAATTTATAGAGATAGTTTTCAATGAACGATCTCGATCTTATAAAAATCATTTTCGAATATTTTATATTCGAAACTAAAAAAATAGTTTTCATTGATAAAAAAACATACTCAAATTTATAAAAATGTTATGAAAATTATAAAAACGTCAACAAATTTAAAAAAATCGCTTTAATAACAGAAAAATCTCATCAAACCTCATACAAATATTTTCCAATTTAGAAAACAATCCTCGATTTGAATGATAAAAAAAATATTCTGAAAATTATAAATATTTTATAAGTTGCTAAATAAGTTTTGGGTAATGTTATAGTTCTTATAAACAATTATAATTTATTATAAAAAAATGTTATAATTAAAACCTTTATAATTTATCCAAGGAATCCGGAACTCCAAGGATTTTGCTTACACGAACAACAATAAACAAACACAAACAATTCCGATAAGAAAAATGATAATACGTTGAAAGAATTCGAAAAATTATTTATTTAATTAGTTAGTAATAATTATAAAAAAATGAGAAGATTATGATGAATGTTGGAATTGTCGAGACATGCGAATACTTGTCGTGTGCCATATCAGTTTGCATAGGATTTTATTTTAATTTGATTTAATTAATAAAATCGTAATTAGATAGATAGATAGATAGAGTATATATATATATATATATATATATATATATATATATATATATAACATGATTTCTTCATTGATTTAATATGTCTATATTTACTTCTTAGATGTGGGGCTTAGTACACTACCTTGAGGATACTCCTGAATGAATTTTCATGAGCCCACATATAAAACTATTTATTTATTTATGTATTTATTCATAAGCAAGCCGTAATCAATAATAACACAGGCCAACAAAAAAAAGTTTTTTTTTTGGTGCCTCAAATGTTAGAGCTGATTCTTATAGTATTTTTTGCGCTGATTTCAAAGCTGCAAACCATTTTTTTGTATCAGCTCTAGTTTTTGAGATACAAAGAAGTTTGCCGAAACCTGGTCCATTCGAGGTCGTCACGGAAAAGAACTTTTCACAGTGTCTACTAATGTCCCAACTAAGGCCGGATGGGTCTTGTAAGTTTGTATGTACGAGTAGTCATATCTCATTAAAATAACATTCGGAATTGTATTACTCTTTTGTACTTTCGTTCCTTATATTAGGTGCGCAACTAAGTTCTCGCTGTTTGTCAGTATATGGCTCTATCAGTAAGGGTTGGTCGATTTTGACAAATCCAAAACGTCTTGAAGCAAGCTTAGAGTAAGTAAACAAACTGCTGCGACACATAATTGATTTCGTTTTTGCATTATATACTTCTGGTTAAGTGAATATGTCCAATTTTATGCCAAACAATCGTTATTTGCGAGGAGTGTTGATTTTCGTCTTCCATTCAAAAAAAACGGGAACTCAAGTGCATCGAGACCTACGGAAATGTTGCTCTGAGCGAAACAACATGCCGTGAAGGGTTTTGTCGCTTCAAAAATGGTGATTTTGATGTTGACGACCACCCTCGTGAAAGAAGGCCAAAACCTTCAAAAACGCTGAATTGAAGGCCTTGTTCGAAGAGGATTCGTGCCAAACTCAAGAAGATCTTGCTTTAGAATTAGGAGTTACCCATCAAATCATTTCCAAGCTATAGCATGCGTCGGGGATGATTTAGAAGCAAGAAACTTCGGTTTCTTGTGAGTTGAAGCCAAGAGACGTCGAGCGTCATTTTTTCGCCTATAAACAACTGATCCAGCGGCGAGAAAAGAAGAGGTTCTTCATCACATCGTGACAGGTGATAAAAAATGAATACATTACAGCAATCCAAAGACGAGAAAATCTCGGTTTGGCCGAATATTCACTGCGAAGGTTATGCTCTACATATGGTGGGACCAGGTCGGTGTTATTTGTTATGAGCTGTTGAAACCGAGTGAAACCATCACTGGAGAATTGTATCGAACTCAATTGATGCATTTTTTTATAATAAAGTTACATTTTCATCGAAAAAAACAGCGAGAACTTAGTTGCGCACCTAATATCGTAAAATATATCATATATATCGTATCTTGAAAACTAAAGCTCATAGAAAAAAACCAATGTCATTTTTGAAATCAGCGCCCCAAATATACTTAAAAACAGCATTAAAATCGTTTGCACCATTTTCTTTGTTGACCTGTGTAATAGATTATTTCAGGCTCTTGTCAATTGATTTTGAAATGATTTTGTTCAGTAACTCATAATCTATGGTAATAAAAATCAATTAGGGAGTTCCACAAGGTTGTATCAAAAGCTCAATCAACAAAATTTTAACAAAAAATTTTTTTTTAAATTAGCCAACTCACCATCACAGTCCCTTATCTTCTTAGCCCCTCCATTACCCCCATTTGCAGTACCAGGTTGCTGGTTTTCATTGCCCCTTCCTGCTCCAGAGCCTGCCAAAGAAGCGGCAAGGGCGCCCCTCCGCCAGGCCTCCGGCGCCCTTTGGGGGATAAATCTGTCGAAGCCCCCTTTTCTAGGAGATGCCCTTTTCAGTGCCAACAGTGTCGTAGGGTTCATCCCCGACGTTTGTGTTTGATGATTCGGTATTATCGTAGAAGAATTTGTGGCTGAGGGCACTGAGGGCACCTGAAAAAGGGCGCGCGCCACGTGCGATTGGGGCGAGCATTGGCGTAGGAGGCGCTTTTCGTATTCGGGACTGAACATCGTGCTGGGGAGATAAGGGTCTGAAAAAAATAAAAAAAAAAGATAAAATTAAATCGAATTTTGAAAAAAAAAGAGTGCGCGTAAGGTTCACACACGATTGACGTAAAACTTATTTGCTACTGTACAAGATGGCATTTAAGTAAAAATAAATGCATCATATAACGATTTTGAATAACGTTTATCAGTAATATGGTAACACTCGTGATGCACACATTTATTAGTGTCAACCATTATACACATTTATATAATGATAAATTATAAATTATATATTTATAATGTCATTAAAAATATGTATAATATTTAAAAACAATAATGTAATTAAAATCATACTTCAAATTTGACTGATCGGTTTGTCATTGTAATTAGTATTTAGGACTTGAGAAATGAAAGACATTAGAGAAATGAAGTGATTGCTGATTAATAACTTCTATAATATTCGTTCACACAGTGGATTATGTTAAACAACGCCCAAACAAATATTGTTTTCGCAATTTCACTCAGCATTTAATAATTGCTTTTGAAGAACTTCATGTAATTAAAATTAACATACATTCATTGACTGTTTGTATTTTTTTTACTTTTTCACTGGCGATATAATCTCATTCTCTGAACAGCTGTAATAACTGTCTTGTCTAAAAAATATTTTCCATTTCAATAACTTCAAACATTTATAAAAACTACGAATAATATAGAAATTATTTCTAATCAATAAACTTACGTTTAGTACACGGCACAAATGTTTAATTTGTTTTATTGTTTTTAAGGAACAGGGTAAAATATTATTCTGATTCAGGCATTTTTCATTAAATCAAAATTTGTACTACGATGTAACTTTAAAATGTTTATTTATCTATGCCGATTTCCTTGTTGATCTCGGTACGCATACAACGACAGATCTCTATTCACATACGCGACGACTAATCACAATCGACCCGTGTAGAAATGATATCATTGAGAGCGAATGACTTTTTAAAATGCTGTAATCATAGTATAGCACATTTTAATATGTCTACTACAGATACAGAAATTAAAATCGATGAGTTTTCTAACAAATATTTGAGATGTTTCAAATTTTATGATAAAAGTACCCTCTAGAAACTATATATGTGTTCCGTGCTGATAGAGTAAAGATTAGATTTTTTTAAAAATAGTTGTAGATATTTTAGAAAGTTGTAATTTTAGTATGTTATACTCTAATATGTCTACTATCCTAACAAATACTAAAACTGATATGTAATCTAATAAATATTCGAGATATTCAACATTTCATAATAAAAGTGCCCTCTAAAAACTAAGTATGTGTTCCGTCCTGAAACAGTAAAGTGTAGATTTTTTTTTAAATAATTCTGTATATTTTAGAACGTTGTAATTTTAGTATGTTATACTCTGAAATGTCTACTATCCTAACAAATACTAAAATCGACGAGTTTTCTAACAAATATTTAAGATATTTAAATTTTATGAAAAAAGTACACTCTAGAATTTATATACATATGTGATATTAAGTGACACGCTGAAGGAGTAAAGTTTAAAAATTTATTGTAATTTTTGTATTTGTTTTAGAATGTTGTAATTTTAGTATGTTATATTATTAGTTAGTATGTTATATTTATCCATTGGCACTCGACTCTTATCTTATCTTATCTGCCGTAACGCTCTTCCTTTGCATTTGTACGAATTTACACCCTAGTCGCGCCTAAAGAAGTTTTACTTCAAAAAAATACTTTCACTCTAGTTTACAATATTTGTAATATTTATTAATTTGTCCATTCCTGGTATAATAACTATCGATTATTATTCGACACGAGCCACGTTAATTATATAATATTTTTTTTATTATTTAGCTAATAATTATTCCAAGAATATTTGCTTATGAGGTCATTCTATACAAAAGTGCATACACAGACACTTATGTTTTTGCAAATGTGCAACTGTTGCACTTTTATGCAACAAGAAATTAAATATGATTACGAAATAGAAAAGAAATTTTTATTTCTTTATAATATATTAAAAGATCTATTTGGAAATGTAATTCAAATCAAAATATTTGGTCTATCTGCAAATTACATTTCTCATTTAACGAGTTTCTCTATTAGTATAAATAAATGTTGTATTTGTAGATAAGTAAGTAATGTTTGTGTTATCGTTAGCAAATAGTATTAATATTATTTTTATCTTTTACATTAATCTTAGAAATTAGTTATTAGTCAGCAAATTTATCAGTTTTAGGAATCAGACGCATAGTTTTGTAGATAAATCGATAGATTTCATATCGAAACTATAATTGAGTAGTAGACTATATAATATATATATATATATATATATATATATATATATATAATTTATTTTTTATAATGACCGGCTGGGCCTTATAAAATTTTCTAACTTCCCAAAGAAAAGGAATGTTTTCGCCATAAAATACGAATTTGATAATTTTATGTTTTCCCGTGGTTTCTAAATGGTTTGATAGTGAAAATAGAAAAAGTATGTGCGTGAGTATATGTAGAATAAGGACAATACGGTTTAACACTTCCGCATTTTCTTTTTCCAAAACAGCCTTTGGTTTTTTATTCGTGGGAGGAGGCTCTAGAATGCTATTCTTTCGCATATTCTAGGGTTTTTGGCCCTTGGTGATACGTGGTAATAGTTAGAATTACGTCACCTCCCTTAACACGTGTATTTTTAGTATCTAGACAAATCGTAACATTCATGTGATATTTCGTGACATTTGGTGAAGCCCCCGAAAGAATCTGGTGTAATTCCCCAATCCCAACGCCGTTTATATGTTCTATCACGTAGTGCACTAAAAAGTGGGCACACGTAAGAAAACTTGCTCCGGTTCTTGAAAGGCAAAAAGTCTTCAAACCGTTCGAAAGATATCAGTTGGGAATCCGGATGCTTAGCTAAACGATGATAATAAAATATTATAGGCATATGAGAAGTAGTGGAATTAGTAGAATAGTTACTGTAATTTTATTAATACTCATCATCAAGCCGATTACTTACTCATATGGGGAAGTTCATGAAACTTTCCATAATATAGAAATATGAAAATATGGAAAATTGTATATTAACCTAATAAAACTTCTGGTGGATATATTTAAGACAAACGCTTCATCCGTACTTAAAACAGACTTGATATAACGTTTTCTCTGTTTGTTCAAGTGCACACAATAAATTTCTATATTTGTCGAATATGGTATATAGAATTTCTCACAGTATCATCGTGTACATATAATATTTAGTTTTTGTCCGTTGTTCTATTTCTGTAATTTCATCATTCATTCATCCATTCATTAAAATATGACTCGAATATATTTCTTTCCATCATTTGACACGGTCTAATTGTGTGCACTGAGAACGGTATTTGAAATTTTACGCTTTTTCAACTAACGGACATATGATGATGATCAAGACCGATGCCTTCGATATGAGAAACTCTAGAATTGATAGTCGAAATGAACCTAAGGAAATATTATAGGCCTATGGGAAATACAACAATGATTGGATTCGAATCCGCAAGGGAGAAGTCTAAATTTCCTCAAAAATCGATCATGTGATTCATGGACGGACCTCAAAACCATAACATAACGACCAAATTTTATAAAAGGGTGCAGTCTAATTTTTTAATTTTCAATTATTCTAAATAAACCACTTCTCACAGCCTTATGATATTTTAGGATATTCGTTTGACTAGCAACTCTTTAACTATGCAAAGTTTCAAGTTTGAAGTTTCAAAATCTCAGAGGAGTAAAGATGTCTAAAATGGCAAAATGTTAGAAAAACTATGTGTAAGTGGCATTTTGTATTTTGTTTTATTATTATTTTAATAATAATAACCAAGCACCGTGCCGTAAGGCAAATTGCTGGAACTTCCCGTACAAAAATTATTTAAAAAAAATCGATTTTTGAGAACTTTGAAATTTTTGAACAAAATGTTTTGGAAAATTTGGATTTTTTGTTTATATTCGGGTTTTTGGGCCTTTTTGTAATGCAATCGTGCTTCGTAGCTGGTTTAGAGACGAAATATCGAAGCGCGTAGGCGCCTGATAATACGATGTACATATGTCTAGTGTTCATTTTTGACGGCCAAATGGCATTTTTTGCACGTTTTTTACCCGACCTCCGAAACCGCTGGACCTGCCTTCCCAAAAATTTAATCAGTTTTGCATTTTGTTAATACAAGTAAAAATTTTTGTTAGTACAAATAAAATGTTAATACAAATAAAATGTTTTTTGAATCATCCTAATGGGACGCTCTGTTCTCTCAAGTACTGAATTACCATTTTTATCTCTATTTGCCCCGTATCTCCGAAACGACTAAACCTGCCTTTGCCAAAAACTAATCAGAACGTCTTCTTATCAATAGAAATCGAATATTTTTTGAATCATTCAAATCGGTTGATCGATACTCCGGAAAACGACGACGAAAAATTGTATCCACACATAGACACACGCTCACACACACACATCAATTTTGCCAAAATGTTCAGAAACTGTTGAAACTTAAAGATATAAAGAAAGAGTTAATAATAAATAAATTAATTAAAGGAAGTTAATAATAAATAAATTAATTATTCAGTTTTTGTAGGCCTATGATGTTTTAGTACATTGTATACGATCGATAACTTTTATATAAATAAAATTTGACAATATATAAGAGTAATATATAACAATAACTTTCTTATAGTTTGCTCTAAAAATTAATTTTAGTATGGGCACTTATTATCATTTATAAAAACTTTCAAAATACTGAAACGCTTGGACTAATAAAAGTTTGTCGTTGCCTCCCGGACAATGGAAAAATGATTCCTTGAATTATGTTTTATTGATTTTTATTTTTAAAAATGATTGATATATAATAAAACATTCTTTTTAAATTAAATACTTTTTATTCGTAAAGTATTCTGTTCTATTAATGCGTTTTTTTTTGTTTTTTTGCTCCTCAATAAGCTTATTCACTGAAGAAGGGTCAAATTGGGTCACGAAACGTATGAAAAACTATTAATCTTAAGAAATTAATTTAATTTTGCTTCAAATGTTGGCTAGAAAATCGGAAAAATTGTATGAGTGTTTTTTTTTAGAAATTTATTTGAAATTCATACGTTTCGACTAACATCTTAGCCTTCATGGATTGAGTATATCAGTTTTAATAATTAATCTAACAAGAAAGTAAATGATATGTAAGAATAAAAAAATAATAATATTGAACTAATCTGAAAACATTTATTGGTATTCTTATATATATATATATATATATATATACATATTAGCAACTAAATGATGGCTAGGATGCTAGCCGAAACGTATAAATTTCAAATTAATTGTAGAAAAAACATTCTTACATTTTTTATTGATTTTATATTTCATATTACTTATTCTACATTTTATAATATATATAAATATATATTATGTGTTACATGGAGTGGTCCTCAATATGGATATTTTAAAATTTCTTTGCTCCCAAGGGCTCAGATGCTACCAAATTGATAAAAAAAATCATTGATTAAATTGCAGGCTATATAAATGTTAATATTAAGATCTAAACCTTTCAGAGTTTTTTTTAATCAATTTGGAAGCATTTGAGCCCCTGGAAGCAAAGAAATTCGAGAACATCCATATTAAGGACCACCCTAGATATGTATATATATTTTATAAATAAAAAATTAATCTAACCATTGAAAATATACATTAAGAGGTGCTAAAAATATTTAATAAATTGATAAATATTAAAATATATATATGCATATATTATATTTTACTCAATTTTGTAATTTTTGTACTAGTTTGTGTAAAACTTTTGATTTTTGATAATTATAAATGCAGCAATCCTTTCTGATGTAAAAGTCTTGTATCACAAATCAAATTTTAAGCCTATTTTTAATATTTAACAACATTTTGCGCAATATTTACAAATTAAATGGCTTTTACTACGTATATACATGTTTGTATTTAAAAAATGAAGTCATTAAACTTAGGGCATTTAAATGGCCATTTTGACATTTTACAAAACATCATTTTGCATCAAAATTTATACAAATTTATACTAAACTAGGTTCAAAAACGTGTAAAACTTGAACAAAAACTAAATCCGAATAATAATTTTACATAATTTAGTACAAAATCGAGCAAAAACCAAATTTTATAAATTTTATACTTTTAGGTTAAGCATCTGTCAAACTCGATGCAAAATCAATAGTTTTCGGGTCAATAGTTTTATTTAAAAATATTGTGTGTACAAAATTACTTACATTAAAGTCTTGTAAACGATATCGTCCTTTTTTTCGGAGTCCTTTTCCACACTTGAACACAAAATAAAAAATTGTATTTGACAATTATAACAAACACATAACTAGTCCTTGCACAAACAATTTTCTGTCATTATAAAAAATATTTATATATTTTACAAAACACGTAAAACGTAAAATTATCTATATATACATTTAATATCCATTTATATAAAGGTTTTTAGTATCAAATATAAATGTGAATTATATAAATGGAAGCACTTGAAACAAGTCACATATTTTTGTTGCATACAGTAATAACTAGTAATAGGTAATAATTATTAATTATTTATTATTGTTTTTAGAGTATTTTTACAGCACTTTGAGTAATGTTTTTGATAATTATAGTTAAAACACAAGAACAATCCGTCGGCATCAACGTTTTTATCAATACTAAAATGCTTGTATGGGGCAGCTGTTCACTTTGAGAGAGCGTTGTGAAGCTGGCAACACTAATGTCGTTATGATTTGAAATTTTGAAAATTTAACAGTAATTTTGTTAAAAACAATTTAAATGCTTTTGTACTTATGGAGGAATTGATAATAAACAATTTTTATATAAATTTTTAACGTACATGTTAGTATTTAGGTAAAACTTGTGGTAAACCCATACACTAGGTACACGACTTTATACCTACTTTAAGACTTGCTAGGTGTATATTAGTATTTTAATATAATAAACCTAATATTGAAGTGTATATTTTATACTTACAAGTGCATTTTAAAGAGTTTTTCCAAACTTATTGTAAATATTTTGTACTAATTTCAACTTCTATGACGTTGCCAACTTCAGGTCGGCAGCCATTTTGTGTCGATCTGTCAAAATGTTGAAACAAATTAAATAATTTAAGTTTTTATATAAATAATTTTTTATTTGTACAAAATAGTGTTCAAATTTAATTATTCAATATATTTTAGTGCGTTTCAGATAAGTATATACCAAGATTTGTAAAATATAACATAATAATATTTCTAAGATGTAATATAATAATTTTTGACAGGTTATATACACAAAATCGTAAATAACTTCAATAATTTATGTATTTATACACAAATAATTTGTTATTCATGCCAAATTATGCTCAAGAAGTATTATTTATCATATACCTGAGTGTTGCAGATAAGGATAAACCTCGACATGATTCATAACCTAACTTTCTTCAAACTTGATTTGTTTTTAATAAATCACTTTTTATATATTCCAGAAATGTCCTGCAAATTTTATACAGCACCTACAAATCAAAGGCGTACTTGATGTTAAATAAATAATTATATCAAATATATCGAACAAGATTAACATTGTAAGACATAATATAATAATTTTTGATAGGTTAAATACACAAAATTGTAAATAACTTCAACAATTTATGAGTTTATACACAAATAATTTGTTATCCATGCAAAATTATGCTCAAAAAGTATTATTTATCATATACCTGAGTGTTGCAGATAAGGATAAACCCAGACATGATTCATAACCTAACTTTCTTTAAACTTGATTTGTTTGTCATAAATCACTTTTTGTATCTTCCAGAAATGTCGTGCAAATTTTGTACAGCATCTACAAATCAAAGACGTACTTGATGTTAAATAAATAATTATATCAAATATATTGAACAAGATTAATGGTTACACAAAAACAGACGATTACAGTTTGTGTACAGACGTAAAGATGAAATGAATGGTGAAAATCCTTAGCACTAACTTTAATAACTAAATATATATATATATATATATATATATATATATATATAAAAGGATAAGCCAGAATTTGATGTTAACGTGATTTGTCACCTGCTTTACAATGTAATTTAAACCGTTATTTGTATCTATTATCTATTAACAATAATATCCCTTATTTGGCCTTCTAATTCTGTTTAACATCATAGACTGAGTTTTAGTTAAGTAAATAAATAAAACTATATACCTGTTGCTTATCTGCAATGATAATACTAAATTACTTATAAGATTTAAATACTTGTGTAAATACATGATTCATCGAAGTGTTTCAAAAGCAGTAAATTTATATGTTTAATTTATAGATTAAAACATAAATAAGGGATTAAATCAATAGTAAATTAAGTAGTTATGAATATTATTGTATAAAGTTAGGAGTAATTTTTAAGAGACAATTTATAAATATGTGCTTTATTTTTAACAAATATTGTATTGGATTAATTTTTATTATATAAAATATTTTAAATTTAATTAGGATGTGGAAGACATGAAATGGTAATTATATAATTAGAAATATAAATGTATATTTATATTAATATATATATATATATATATATATATATATATATAATTTGTTATATGTATTGCTAGATTTATTTATAAGGTGTTTGATATGTTTGCCACGATTTAAATAACATATTAATAGACACATTGATTACATTATTACTTTATTGAAACTTCGATACACCTATTTATATATTTATCAACACTTAATTTAGTACTGTGTGTATAATAAAATTATTGATATATTTAAATAAATTCCCGCTTTAATAATTTAATTAAATTGTTTATCAATTGATACATTTATTTATTTATCTATAACATATTTGCTGATATAATTAACTTGATTAAATAATTATAATTATCAAAATTGATAAATTTTACAAAATTTATAATTTCAAGAACCATAAAAAATAATCAAAAATCATCAATATTGAGGAGAAATCATAAAAATGACTATAAATCGTCAATTGTAATCAACAAGTATCAAAATTGATAAAAAATCATTAACAATTATTGAGAATCATAAGAGATTATCATAAATTATCAATTATAATCAAGAATTTCCAAAATTTATCAAGAATTAATTGAAGAAGAATCATTTCTATCATTATTTATAATTAAAAAACATCATTTTGAAAGAGCTAAGTATTCGAATTGAATGATTCAAAAAACTTTTTGCTTGTGTTGACAAAATAATTGCTTTTGAAAAAAATTTTTTTTTGTATATCGAAATTTTTTCAGATTTTATTAACTTCCCGAAGGAGAAGTTTGTTTTCATCATAGATAAGTAAACATCAAAAAATCCGATTTGCTAATTTTATGTTTTCTTGACGTTTCAAGCCATTCTGAATCGAATGAGACCAAATTTGGAAAAAGTATGTGTGTGTATGTGAACAGATTTTTTGCCCTAAATCGGCGTTTTCTCAAAAACTGCTGGACCGATCTCAAAAATTTAAAAGCCATTAGATGTATCTCGATGAGAACTAGCGTTTGTCAGTTTTGCGCTACGATCGGCAGAGCCGTTTCTCTGTAAATTGCAGAAAAGTGAAAAATGTTTCGTCCACGTTTTAACCCGCAATTCTTAATCGATTTTAAAAATCGAAAAACCGTTCGAAAGATATTGCTTGGGAATCGTGCTGATTAGTTTTTGGTAGAAATTGGCCGGGCCGTTTCCTTGTAATGTTAAATATTTTACGATTTTCATTATTATTTTTTTGACGGTAGATACCATAGTCTTATAGATCATACGTTTTCATATTTTATATATACATTTCATTTGACTATTTCATTAATATAATATCTATATATAATTAAAAATATCTTTATACATAACTCTTCAGTCTTCTTTGTCTTCAATTTTCTTATAGTATTTTTTTATTTTTCTTTTAAAATTATCGTCATCATTGGTCATCTTAGTCTGGCAATTCGTTATATATTTTGCTAGCACTCAATATGACATTTCCTCTCAATTTATTAACTTCCCGTAGGGTAAGTTATAGTAATCGTCCAAAAATCGAAATCAAAAATTTTTACATTTCTCGACGTTTTGAAGGTTTTTGAACATTTTGGCATACTTCAGAAAAAATGGATGTGTGTGTGTGTGTGTGTGTGTGTGTGTGTTTTGTATGTCCGCTTTTTTTCGTCCACGTTTTCGGGCGCACGGATCAACCGATTTGAATGGTTTAAAAAACATTCGATTCCTATTGATAGGGAGATGTGCTGATTAGTTTTTGGCAAAGGCAGGTCCAGCCGTTACGGAGATATGGAGCAAAGAGTGCAAAAAATAGAAAGCGAATTTTTGAGAGAACGGATCAACCGATTTGAATGGTTTAAAAAACATTCGATTCCTATTGATAGGGAGATGTGCTGATTAGTTTTTGGCAAAGGTAGGCCCAGAGGTTTCGGAGTTACAGAGCTAAATTTAAAAAAAATGGCTGTTTTTGAGAGAACTAAGCGTCCGATTTAAATGATTCAAAGAACTTTCTGCTTTTTTCAACAAAACAATTGATTTTGGAAAAAAAAATTTTTTGATTCTAATTTTTTTCAAAAAAATTTTTTTGTAATTTTGGACTAAAAATTCAAAAAATCACCCAAGCTAAGCACAGTCTAAGCGCCACTCTGGTACAAATGTTTACCCAAGTGCGTTTAGACTGTTTGTGTACTGGAGCACTTTTCCAATTTTGTGAAAATTATTGAAAAATGTGAAAATGCCGCCAAGCTGAGCACAGTATAAGTGAAAATATCGCACAGAATTATTGCAAATGCGTTTAGACTGTGACTATGCTGGAGCACTTTTTCAATTTTGTGGAAATTTGGCAACTATTTTTTTTTTTGAAATTTGATTCGAAATGAAATGACGATTGTTAATGTTCTGGAGGTGATAAATTGATTTATTTATAATTAACTTTCGTAGGGTAAGTTATAGTAATCGCACAAAAATCGAAAATGAAAATTTTTATATAACTTTACGTTTCAAAGGTTTCTGAATATATTGGCATACCTTAGAGAAAATTGATGTATGTGTGTGTATGTGTGTGTGTGCGTGCATTTGTGTGTGTTCAGATACAAATTTTCGTCGACGATTTCGGGAATCGGGATGAAGCAATTTGAATAATTCAAAAACATTTTACTTGCATTATCAAGATGAAGATTTGATGAAATTTTTATGAAATTAGGTCTAGCGGTTTCAGAGATCTAGTAAAAAAAGTAAAAAAAAATAACATTTGGCGGTCAACAATAATCATTAGACATTAGACATATGCACATCAAATTATCAGATATTTTATAGAGATTTTAACATGAGTATACATTTTGTTAACATTCCTATGGGTTCCGTACCAATGCTTATGCGTTAGACAGCGACGCGGCGCTTACGCGCTTCGATATTTAGTCTCTATGCATTAAAGCAGTACGATTGCTTTGAAAAAAAGTTCAGAATTTCCAAAATATTTCAAAATAAAT